CCAAGCAAGAAGCCGGATTCCACTCACTTTCCGAGTATATGGTTCATGTGACACGTTTTTTCGACTTAAGAGAAGTCCAATTCCAACTGGAAACCGGTACTGCCAATGCTCCCACCTGGAGTAAAAAGAGACTCGTCTACCTAGCTTCCGATGACCCCTCTGTTTTTACAGAAGCCAGAGAGCAGTACACAGACTACATATTCCTAGGAGACCAAAAAAAGGCCAAACCCTGGAGAGATTCGACCGAAGACACCCTATTCGCCATCATGACAGATATTTTGGCTCTGGCCAAATCAGACTTCCTGGTCTGTACTGCCTCGTCCAATGTCTGCCGACTGGCCTACGAACTGATGCTCGCTCAACAACCAGCCAATGATGATGCGACCTTCAATTTCCAGTCCGTTGACGTCAGATTTATCAGTCATAGAAGTAGACAAAGACGGTGGAAAGTCATCGCAGATTTTAAGGACAACAACTTTGTGTTAGGGGATTTGTATTCGCTGTCTGCAAATTCTTCTGATGGATTTTTGCGCTCCTTTTGCGCATTAGATGGAAATTGTCACAAACAACTGATACCCGCCTACTTATTACAAGAGATTATTCTTAGATACTCGAAAAGTTAAAAAATCTAGCCAGTAACTATCACTATCATAAATATCTATTCCTGCCATTTGTGTTGACTGAGGTTTATCTTCCATCCCGTCAAGTCTTTCTCTCAGTGGGTTTCTTAAACATGGCTGGGACCCAGTTTGCCTGTTATTTTCTCTATAAGTTGCTTTCCGAAATCGGTTATGTGTCAGTTTCGTTTACCTCACCCATAAAATCTCATTACAAGCACACCAGTATTACAGCAGTCCGTGTTCCTTCTTTTCCGACTGGAGTCACGTATCCGATTGTTGTCCATTGTCGTTTTAGCTCGGTGTCATTTCATTCGAGGAATGTATCTGACACCTGTCAGTATAATTGGCCTAACGATTTGTTCCAGTATGCCAGATTTATAAAAGGGTGGACCACGGAAAGAGAGTCACTCTGGGTAAAAGTTTAATCCATCGCCCACTTGAGATACCCCTAGCCGGTGGTTACTTTTAGTTTTATTTTATTTTCAGCTTAGTTTAGCTTTTAGTTTATTATTTATTTATCAATTTAATTTAAGTTTAGTTCAGTTGATATTTTAGTAAGAAACAACTAACGTAAGATAAATATACTTAATAACTATTGTTAGGGGTTTGGCAGATTTCAGTACATCGATTGGCTCAATTGTAAAAAGTTCGCAGCCTCGATGGAAGTCGAACACACACAGCAGGGAAGGCTTTTGCGCAGCCAACGCTCTATCATTGAGCTACGAGACTCACCGTGCGCCGTGAATTTAATCACACTCGAATCGATTTTGTTGCCCAGGATTACTGCACCTATGTAATCCACCAATACGGACGCCGTGTGATTAAATTCACGGCGCACGGTGAGCCTCGTAATTGAGTTTGACTCCCATCGAGGCCGCGAAGATTTCGCAATTGGGTCAGTCGAATTAAATTACTACTTATATACCTAAACTAAATTAAAGCTTAAAGTGAATGAATAAGCTAGAAAAATAAACTAAACTAATACCGTAGATCCCACAATACACCATTCTAGGGCTAGGAGTATTTAAGGTGGCCGACCAACCTAACGTTTACCTCTTCTACAAAAAGAGAACTAATGCCAATGCCATGTATAGTTCCTATAAGTTCGCCTGCATATTTCGCTTCCACGGCTCCCGGAGACACAGCTCTAACGGACCCTATGTTTTTACAAATGCTCGCGGCTATAAGTGAGCCTGTTTCTACCCTGGCAACGGATAAATAAGTCGGAGGTGGCGCAACTTGGGGAGGGTGATTAGCACAACGAACTAAAACAAGTAAGAAAAACTACAACATTTAACGGCACAACATCTGGTGCAAAATATGTGGCTTAAATAAAACAATATACGATCTACGTACAATACGGCTCTGAATTCATGCAAAATGCCCACATTTGCGAAATATTGATACTCTCTCGCTAATCGGCATTGAGTAAATTTGTAACACTGATTATCTTATAGCCTATTCTGAAGGTATTTCAGTCACGATAGGATGCCAGCTTTTCAAGGAGCTTCTTTCTGACCGCTAACAAAAGTATGTACTGTAAAAATTGCTACTTACGCTGTATGCTCTTGTATCATCGATTTTGACTGCCACTATCAATTCCAATATATTTTATGGAAACCATGCAAAAAAACTGTTTCTTGTACTCCTTTGGTACAAATTTATGCCTTCTTTAAATATTACACTTAAAGAAAGGGTATCCTTCGGTTTTAGAAACTTTTCTTATTGCGATATTTTTTAGGATTGTGGGAGGTTCATTCACAATAGGTCGTATCTGTTAATTCAGTCTACAATATCTACAGCGTGATCCACATTTATTGCAACATTTTGTGAGAACTATGTGACTTTTTCCTGAAACCGCAGGCAAAAATGTACTTTTCCTTTAACAGGATGTACATAGCGCGCAGTGTGTAAAACTTCAATTCAAGTGTAGCAGTCGGTAGGTTTCAAAATTATTCGGTAATTTAGAAAATATTTTAAACCGAAGATATCCTTTATTTAAATATAAAATTTAAAGAAGACGTTATTTGCTACCAAACGAGTACAAGGAATAATTTTTCGTGCATGTTTTCCATACAATATATTTGAATTGATAATGGCAGTCAAAATCAATGATAAACATGCATACTATGTAGTAGCCATTTTTACAGTACATAATTTCTGTTAGCGGTCAGAAAGAGGCTCTTTGAAAAGCTAGCATCCTATTGTGACTGGAACGACTTTAGAATAGACCACACGATAGTCAGTGTTACAACCTTACTCGATGCCGATGAGCGAGAGAGTATTGATCTTTCGCAAATGTGAGCATGTTGCACGAATTCGGAGCCGTATTGTATATTATTTGGAGTAGTAAGTTCTTAGACAATCGAAATCCCTGTCCGTTTTTAGATCATTCTACCACGCCATTTACGAGGACGTAGTTTAGGAACAGTTAATACTAGTAAGGCACCTGCCTTTGTTTTTTTTTAATATAAACAGCCAGAGCCGAATTATACTGCATTCACTACCTTTTTTGAAGTTCCTCAGTTTACTGACTAAAAGTAGCCCCCTTTTTCGTTCGTCCTTTCTTATATTACTTCCATGGCCTTGCGGCAACCTTCGTCTTAGGCCATATTCTAGCGATTCCTGAATGGAATGCACCTAAACAGTGCATCTTGCGCATTTTTTGTCTCAACCAGTACGTCCACGGCAAAATCCTGAATGAACAGTTATTTGCCCACCATGGATATTAATATGTACCGTTTTGTCGGTTCCAATTAATTCGATCAGGTGTGATGGATCACCAATCAGCTAACGACTATATGTACCAGCTAAATTGACTATCCATTTTTGGATTGAAATTGCTTATACGGCTACCTCGTATGGCACTTGAGCAGGTACGCCGGATCAATGTATCTCAAACGTTTTAACTTGTGAAACACTCAAGAAAGTCACTTTTAAAACTACCAAGATCACACCAAATGTTGAAAGTTTGGAAGTACTGACCAAGGAGATGCTAGGCTGGGTCATTTTACTCATACTGAATCCGGAATCAAAATATGTCTAATTGACTACCTCGCAGGATGCGCTTATCTTCGAAAATGGCTATGTTTCCCACCAGCAAATGCGTATCTGTTGCAGGTAGTAGTTTCGACAAGCAGAGGGGTCCCCTAAATCACAAGTCAAGCAGGAAAGTGTTGGTGGACAGAAATTTACTGTCACAAAATAGATGGTACAAAGGTTGTCAGCTGCTCACTGTGCTTGCGAGCCAGATGTGTCCGCGAAGTTGTGTGAATGAGTGAAGCTTTGGCTGCAGGATGAGTGTTCATTCGACTGTCACCAATCAGATGAGGCGAAAGCATTGATTGACATAAAGTGTGGGCGCGCTTCAAGCAGCGCGTCAATCGATGCCATTTAAACAGCCGACACGAGTTAATTAATCACGCGGGATGCAAGTTATGGCAGCCGAGTACAGGATGGCTCACGTGCAGTTGGGCCAGACTGTAGACTCTTACATATCTACTCATCGACTATTTGCAGTGCTTCTAGTTCGTGAATTTGGTTCGGTCAGAAATTATCATTCAGTTTCTTACGGCTACGACAATCCAGACTGCAATGAAGGCCGAATCACTTTCTCAGAGCAGAAAGGTTTTTGGCCCCGGGCTGCGCTTTGCAAGACTGACAGGGACGTTTGTGCAACAGATCCTTCGTAAGATCGGCGAGTTTCTCTTGTCTCCCATCCTCGTACTTTTGTAAATGTAAATTTAATGTAAATGTTGTCAGTCTACACTGAGCACACTTATTCAAGTGTCAATCGAACCCCTTGGCTTTAATCAGCTAACACCCGGTTGCCAAATTGGTGCGTTCACTCATGTTGTCTGCATGAAGTTGAGATTAATACTCACCATATGTCTAATTTAACGAGAAATCACAATTCAGTCCGAAATCAGTCAAAACGCACCCACCAAAACGCCAAACGATAAAGATTGGTTGTGTAAAACACCCGCGTTTACTGTGCATAGCAAAATAATTGCTTCTTTATAGCAGAAATAGTTTGGCTTAATATTTCATATAGGTGTTTGCATTTTAACGTTTCCATACTCACCATAAAACGCATGCTTTACGGTTGTACGGCCTCCATGACAGTTTCGAGTTCAAATACAGGTGATTTCGGTTCCAGCGTATACAATCATTTAGTAGATTTCAGAAACTACCAGTTAACAGCCTACAAATAAATGAAAAGGTAAAATAAGTATTACAAGTATTGTTTATTTAATTTTAAGGAAGAAATACAATTTTATTAAGAAAAAGGAATTTCCGAAGACTCGGAAATTTGTGTCATGTGAATATGCTCAAATGGTAGAAGTGCATAATGCTTGTCTACGTAAGTAACTGATTAAATAAAACAGCTTGTATAGATTAACATTCGAACCATTATTTTTATGCATATTGCACTGCCGGCAAAGATAAGGGAGATTGGAATGGTCATTTCTGGTTCATTAGCCGCCATCAGGCAGTCATACCGTAACACAGATTGGTACACCACCCGAGACTCGATCCTGTGATCCTTTGATCAGAAATCTAACGCTATAACCATTCAGAAGAAGAAGATGCGATCACTGTAACAAGGGCTTTATTTTCCTGACGTTTCGGATTCCCTCGGGAATCCTTAATCCCACTGGAACATGAGTTTTATTGTCCTGACGTTTCGGATTCCGTCGGGAATCCTTAGTCATAGCTATCGTAAACAGGTCTGAGACATGCGCAGACCCCTTATCTGCGCATGTCTCAAATGATAACATAGGCATGGTCATGCGCAGATGAGGTGGATATATGCACAGGCTGCACCACTTTATTTTCCTGACGTTTCGGATTCCGTCGGGAATCCTTAGTCATAGGTAAAAAGTCATGGTCATGCGCAGATAGGGTGGAGACGTGCACAGGCTGCTAGGTATTTATAGTTTATAGTGGTCGTCCGCGTGTGTGATAATTGCTCACTTCTGTAGCCACCGCTTGGGTCTTAA